TTTTCTGTTGCCCTGATTCAGCCTGGTGTCACTGCATCTCAGGGCTCTTACAGTGATCCTTCTCCCTCAGCGGTAGAAAAATTTCCTGTGGTCTGGCCCAGTAGGTTTTGTGCTCCTATCAAGATGTAGAGCTTTTTCCTTTCTTGAGCTACAGTGGGTCCTGACCTGTGACCTGAGTATGATAGGGCTTGCTGTCCTTCCCCACAGTGACATAGACATTTTCTCCCAGAGGGAGAAGCATGCATGTGGAATGTTCTGTTTTTCTCCCAGGTTGTGATGTCTCTCTTTCTCCAGGCCTGAACCACAAATGAAACTTGCTCTCTTCTCCCATCTGCCCCCAGTCTTTCTTGTGAACACCCAGTGGAGAGCTGCGAACAGCTTGCAGGCAGATACAAATTCCCCTTCTGTTATCAGCTCCCAGGGCTTCTATATACTCACACTTTTCCACACTCCACGTTTAGCAACTTTTCTTTACATTTTAGCTGAACTCTTCCTACAACTCAGTTGGATGCCCCATCTTTCATCTGTGATCTTTCAGGTTACTCAGAGTATGTGGCTTATATTTCCCTCCTTAAAAGTACCTTTTTTTTCTTCAACTTTGGGCTAGTTGGTAGACCTGTGACCTCAGCTCTCTAATAGATTCAGGGAACTGTATCATCTTACAGAATACCTTGCTATTTCTGGCTGTGACAGTGTAAGCAATGCTTTTCTCATGTTTTTTTATACCCTATGCAAAGAAGTCCCTGGTACATTTAAAATTAACATATAATAACTTTTTAATGTTTGTCCTCATCTACCTGGAATTATCTAGTTTACTACCATTTAATACATATAAGACTTTGGGAGATTTTAAAATTAACATATATTATATATAATATAAAATATTATATATAATAATATTCTGACCTCAGGTGATCTACCCGCCTTGGCCTTTCAAAGTGCTTGGATTACAGATGTGAACTACCACACTGGGGTGAGATATTGATTTTTAAAACATATTTGTTTATTCTTGTTCCCTAATTTTATTTGAAATATTTGACATAGAATTTGTGCAAATGTCAAATATTATGTTAGAAATATTGCATTTGTGTTGGTAAAATATTTAAACTGACTGTAACATTGCCCTATCATACTGGCCATTCCCTGATTATTATGAAAGAGCGGGGCTTCTGATTGATCAGCAGGGTTGTTCTAGGTGAAATGCGGTGTTCAGAGCATTTGGTTCCCAAAATCAGTGTTGGACTCCAGGTGACCTTTTAGATACATTGTGCCCAAATCTCTACCCTCCTCTGCAGTGCTGCGTCAAACTCAAGACATTTCTCAAGTAATTCATGCTTTTGTCCTTGAATTTATTTATTATGATTAAATTTATTGGCTGCACATTGTGTACACATGTCACATGTGATGATGTAGTAAGGCACATGCAAATATAAGTGAGGCAAGTTTTGTTTTTAATATGCTTACAGTTTTAGGAAATACATAGATAAGCAAATATCCACCATTGCGAGGATGAGGATCGAGCCTGATAATTAAACAAGCTCTACGGTTTCAAACATGGTAGCATACATTTGTGCAGTACTTTATAGCAATGATTGCGAAATCTGATTGTCAGGATTATTTGAGGAACCTAGAATTAGAATCCCCAGCTTTGGGCCTAGGATTTGAACATTTGGAAAACTCAACAATGATTCTGATAACCATCCAAGTTTGGCAGCCACCTCTTTTGAGTTAACCACAGTGAAGAACAGTTTCTTTAACCTGTTTTTTTTTTTATTTCTTGGAAGATAACCATAATTTTATGGAGGGATATAATTTAACTAATGCATAGATACAGAAGGGAGGTGAACGATGATGTTACCAGAGCTTTAAAGAAGAGACTGCTCAGCATTAGCATGGATGGATATGTTGATTGCTTTGTTCCTTGTCACTATGAGTGTACCAAGTAACACAGGCCTAAGCCAATCAGCAACTGGCAATCTCCTGGTCATCAGGATGTATTCAGCATGATAAATACTGTGAGGTGGAGGTTCTTGGTTATGGGTTTTTTCTGTGATCTCTTCTCATAGTCATGCTGAACAATTTGCTGCTGTTGTGTCCTATTTTTCTATTTGTAGACTCAGTAAACTTTCAAGACCATGTTGTTTAAGCTGTCTTATAGAATGTTGTCCAAATCTCTCTATTAATACCCAGTAATATTTACTATGGACCTTGAAATTGGAAAGAAATTCCCTAAAAACCAAAGTCATTGGTTTTCCATGTATTTTAGCTAAGTGACATTTTATTATAGATACATTTTAAGTATAGAAAAAATTAAAGCTGTTCTTGAAGTTTTTGCTACAGAAGAATGCCAAGGTTAAATAAAAAAGAATCTTACACAAAAATGATGGAACTTGATCCCCAAAATTCAATGGTCAATGAATATTTAACCTATGTTATATAAATAACAACAGAGAAAAAATAACTGGGGAGAGTTCAAGGTTATTGTAGGAAATATATGCATATAAATAAAAGACTATAGAAATGAAAGTGCCCTTATACTTGTTCATGCTGTCCCCATGGGGAAACTTTTGAGTAGGCTTCTGAATCCACATAAAAATAAAGAATTAAGAAGGCTAGTCTAACTTCTACAGAGAATTGTACAGTCATGCCAAAGTTTCAAATAGGGAAATACTTAAATTAAATGACTCATGGCTCTAGAAAGTATTTCTTGTTCAAAGTTGTATATTATGGGTGGACCACACCAATTCAGAAAGCTTCACCCAGATTCAACAAAAATCTCAACTAGTGTGTATGGTAAAATTAATAGGATTTCTTTAAAAAGGGACTTGAGAAGTCATAAAATCACAGAAAATAAAATCACAAGCGCTACACTTTAGATGGAAACTTAGCAGTCTTACAGTATAATTATTTCTCATCACTTTTTTGCCTTACTCTTTATTGATCAAGTATATTTCTGAACTCTACTTTCCTACCTTCTAAGCAGGTAGTTCTAAATATAATAAATATTTATATTGATGACTTAAAGTTAGCAGTCTAAGAGGGCATTCGTTTTCTATTGTTTTATAACTACTTATCACACACTTGGTGACTTGAAACACCTATTTATATGCTCATTGTTTCTATGGTTGGAGTCTAGCACATTCTAGCTAGTCCTTTTTTCAGGGCCCAGCTCAGAGGCCTGAACTCAAGGTGCAACTGGCTATGTTCCCATCTGGAGCTGAGGCTAGGAAAAGATACACATCCAAGCTCCATCTGGTTGTTGTCAAAATTCATTTCCCTGTAATTATAGAACTGATGTCCTTATTATATTGCTAGCTGTCAGTGAGAATTTCTCTCTTCTTCTAGAGGCTATACTTGGGTTGGGTGTAGTGGCTGACATCTGTAATCCCAGCGCTTTGGGAGGCCAAGGTGGGAGAGTTACTTGAGGCCAGGAGTTCAAGACCAGACTGAGCAACATAACATGAATCCTTTACTACAAAAATATATTTTTGTTTAATTAAGAAAAAAATAGGGGCTACATTTGGAGCTTTACCAGGTGGTCCCTTCTACTTCAGGATTGGAGAAACTTCTTCAACTTGAATTTTATTCATGCTTCTTCTGACTTCCCCTGCTGAGATGAGCCAAAGAAAGGTTTCTGGTGACTAGGTGAGGCCTACTTGAATGCTTTCCTAATTCCATTTAAAATTACCTAATCCCATGAGCTAAATCCATTTATATTCATAATTTGGGGAATTCTTGGGTGTACAAGGCAAGAGGATGGGAAATCTGGGGTGGGGTCATCTTACAATTCTGACTACTTAGAATCTCATGGAATGGGGAAGATACGGACTTTGAAAAAAGAAAGGGAGGTATTAAAAACATAACTTTGCCACCTAATTTATTTATAATAGGTGCTTAATAATTATTCGTTGATTGAATTATGAGTGAAAAGGTGAACAAATGAACAAGAGAATATGTAAATGAATGAAGTTAACATTACAAAAACGGTTTCATCATTGAGAAAGAAAAATAATAGCATTGAATTGAAGGACGCTTATGAGAATGAAGTGAAATTATACACTAAAAGATCTTGGCACATTGTTAATATTCAATAAATTGGTACCTCCTATTAATCTTTCTACATAATATGTGGGCTTATCACTTTAATAAGGACTTCTTATGTCTCTTGTTTGCTGCAGAAGTCTGCTGCTAACACCAGTAATAATTCCAGTCTTCTCATTTTTCTTCCTTTTCTCTTGCTTGTAGAGACCCTGGTTCTGCTGCTTCTTTGATCAACAATAAAATCAGATACCTTTAATAGCCATATAGTGTTTTCTTCCTTATTCTTGGTAAATTAGGTGTATCAGTCAGGATAGTAAGGGTTTACAATAATAAAAAATGTTTTTACATAATTTCATGCTACTTATCACATGTAGGCTGTGGATCTCTCCCAAGCTACAGGACCCAGACCCCTCCCTAACCATGGCTAGTCTCAAAGCAGACAGGAAAGGAACATGGTGGAGCCACTCAATGGCTCTTAATGCTTCTGATTTAATAGGGTACTCATATTTCATTGGGTACGCTAGATCATATGAGCAAGCATAACACCATGGGGCAGAATGTATAATTCCCCCACAGAGGAGCAGCAAATATTTTAATACAATCAGTCTCATTTTAGGGGTCATCCTTATATATTTAATTGTTTTCAATTATGCTTCTCATTTCTGCTTTATGTTCAGGGGCTGTTTTATTGCCACCACATTGTTGATTTATGTGCTTTGAGATGTATTTTGAAATGAGTCATAATATTCAGCTTTGTTGAGAAGGTATCTCACAAAATACATTATTTTAAAATTATAACTAAAAATATTCTGGAAAATATCACCTAATTATTTATTTAAAAATCATCCTAATTTAGATATTCATTTTTAATGTATGTTTGCTGCTTTTTGTAAACTAACAAACCACAGAAACACCCTTGTTCAGAACATTTCAAAATCAAGAATGCAATTCTTTAGAAATCATGTCAGTCAATAGTGTTTATTAGAGAGTGAATGGAATCAAACATACATTTTTTTTTTCAAAGTACTTTCCATAGTTTATACTTTCAGTTTCCATTTCCAGGTAATTCAGAGAAATTACATTCATCAGTTCCAATGATCAGTAATATATGGTATTATTACAGTTGCTTTGATTAAGGAAACAGAAGGTATACTGTAATATAAAGACCTCTATAATGCAGCAGTTCTTACAGATACTTTGTTTGTTCATAGTGAATGGAAATTACACATTTCAGAACATGAGAACACTACATTAGACACAAAATAATGTACTGTTACATTAACAGCATATTGACCATAGGTCAAAATATTCTTTCTAATTCTACAATAGCTTCATAATTAAAATTTTTAAAAAGTATTCTGCCAAACAGATCTTTCACTATATGAAGGAATTTGTAAGGTCCTGAACATTTCCTTAATTTTATCTGTGACACAGAGGCCCCCTCGTGGTGGCATCTAGGCATTTTCAGTGACTATTTCTAAAGCAGAGTTTCAGGTTGTCTGGCATAAACAGGTTCCTTCAGGTGGAGTGAGGCTTAAATCAATTGAAATTTTTGAGGCTCTTGGCATATGTAAAAATTACCAAAAATTAGTCTAATAAAGATAGAATATATTGTGGTATATTTTAGATTGTTTAGCATACACAAATGTAACAAAATATAATTTTATCTTTTCAACAGAAAGAAAAGATAAAAATATTAATTCAAAGTTTATAGATGGGTGGGACATGTCTTCATAGAACCAGGTTTAAAAGTGCCCAGTGAGCAGCTTCCAGGGAAGTCAGTTAATATTCCTGAGAGTGGTGGGCTCTTCTCATTAACTACAACTTTAAATTTGAGTTCCTCTGCTGATGGGAGGATTAAGCCAAATGTTCCTCCTTCCCAACCAGTCCAATTCCCTGCCTTGGCTTCTCTGCTCCACACCTCACCCTGCTTATTCCTGTGAACAGATAAATCATCTCAAATGATGACTCTAATCTATGAGGAAAAAAATGGGTATTCAGCATAGCACAGAGCTTGCTCCATTTCCTTTTTTCTCTCCTGCATTACCCTTGGTTCAGTGCTAATCATGAAAAGTAAAAATAAAAATTGAGAAAGTGTTTTGGACAGAAAGTAGAATATGATAGGCAATGTCTTTAAGTTTCCATGGTGTAAGTGTGAATTGAGCTCTTCATTAACCTTGAAACTGAATTTGAACATCCACTCCAGGGTATCCTAATGGCATGCATGTGTGTGTGTGTGTGTGTGTGTGTGTGTATTTAACCCTGGCTACAAAAAGGGTCCAAGAATTTCCTACTAATTCTAATATGCTGTTGATTTGAGAAACACTGGACTGGAAAACAGAAAGGTCACAGAAGTGTCCCTGTGAGGCTAAGACCACCAGGGACACAAGTAAAATTCCACAAAATTGGATTTCTTGATTCACTGCAATGAGGGACTTGCACACAGAGGAACTGTGGGTGTCTCATCTACAGAAGCAAAGATGGAGTTATTTCAGTTCTCAGCAGGAGGGGAGAAGCTAGTGTTTTGATAAGCTGAAAGCAAAGCAGAGCTGTGTATAAAGGGGTCAACGTCAGGCCTGCACTGCCAAGTTGACCCAGAGTTTTTCTTCCTTGGCAGCAGGAATGTTGAGATAGATATGCAGTGCTGTATCCAGAAATGCTTTATCTGAAGCTTGGCACCTGGGTAGAAATCAAGAATGCTTTTCTGTGTCAAAATGACTAAGATCTTCCAGGCAAGAAAGGAATATGTTTTTCTCACTGATATGATTTCAGGTAGCAAGTTTTCTGATAATCCATGATTTGGAAGAACAAAAATTTCTCAGTGTGTAAGAAAACACCAGTCACTCAAAGAAGGGGACATATTACAGCAGCAATGTGTCTTGGAGGACATACTGATTCCTGTTAACTTTGTAGGTAGCTTCATCGGTGTCTGTTATTCCAGCTGTATAAATAACAGGGTGGATTTTTACAGCCTAAGCTTTTTACTTTCTTAGATATGGCACCTGCCCCCACAAAGTTGCTTCCAAAAGAAACATAGGGCATAAAAAGAGGACCCCAGTAAACATGTCAGCGTGTAGATGTTATTCATGAATTAATTAAGCAAAGATTTACTGAGTACCTACTACGTGCTGGGCTCTGTGCAGGGAACTCAAGCCTCAGCTCTCAAGAAGCTTACAAACTGGTTGGAGAAAACCACAAATAAGTTGGCAATTACAACAGTGTATAGAAGTGTTTTAGCTAGATTTACAATAAGGTTCCATGGACAATTAATCCAGTCCGGGGTATTCAGAAACTCAAAGAAATATTATGAGATGTTATTGAAAAGTGAGGAGTGGTTGGGTGTAGGGAAAGGGCAGGAAGGTGGAAGTAAAAGATAAAGAACTCTGGGGCCGGGTGCGGTGGCTCAAGCCTGTAATCCCAGCATTTTGGGAGGCCAAGGCGAGTGGATCACGAGGTTAAGAGATCGAGACCATCCTGGTCAACATGGTGAAACCCCGTCTCTACTAAAAATACAAAAAATTGGCTGGGCATGGTGGCGCATGCCTGTAATCCCAGCTACCCAGGAGGCTGAGGCAGGAGAATTGCCTGAACCCAGGAGGCGGAGGTTGCGGTGAGCCGAGATCGTGCCATTGCACTCCAGCCTGGGTAACAAGAGCGAAACTCCATCTCAAAAAAAAAGAAAAAAGACTTCGAAAATAGAATCGTCTGGCTTCTAACCCAGGCTCTAGAGCTGTAACTCAGAGTTTTCTCACTTATAAAGTAAGGAAAACAAAAGAGAAATGCATTCATTGAGTACCAGACAGAGTTCTAAGTAATAAGAATACATCAATGAAAAGAACAAGCACCGGGCCCTTGTGTATCATAAACTAAAGCAGGTGTTTATTTGCAGACAGTAAATAAAAACCTTAACTAATAAGAAAATTATTTGCTATGTTAGGTAACCAATGCTGAGAGGTGGTATGAAGAGAGTTGCCTATGGAGGAGTCCTGGGAGAGGTGGGGGGAACTGAAGATTTGTTGTGACGTCTATCAAAATGTGTAGGCAGCCCGGGGCATTCTGGTGAGGTTTGGTCACAGAAGTCATGCTTAGCTGAGCTAAGGGGGAATCCCCTGGCCTATGTCAGCCACAATTTTGACCTCACTCAATATTTCCTTCTCCTTCTGACTTCAGAGAGCCTGACTTTGTACCTTAGACAAACTTCTGATTCTACAGCACAGTTCTGGACTTCTTATTGAGCACATTTCTGAAAAAGCCATCAGACAGCAGTTGGCATTGCTTTTAACACTGGTAGCAGTTGAAGAGTTTAAGGCAGAGCCCTGGTTTGCTTATAGTGTTCTAAATTTCTCTAGATGTTCTTCCTCTTTCTTTCATGCCCCACTTCAACCAAAAGGTGATTAAAACATGGTTCTCAACACCCACCCTTTCACCCCCTACCCTCATAACCAGAACCACGTGTAAGAAATTTGGCTGGTCACATTCACTAGGTTGAAGAGGTGCTTTGTTCATTTGGTGGACAAGGTCAGGGATCCTGAATGGTCTGCAATTTGTGATCCAGTGCACATTAATTTTTTGAAATCATCAGAATGTCAATAACAACTCATTAAGAAACACTTGGTTAGAAAAATAAAACTTTGCCCCAAAGATTTAGTGATTTTGAAAATTAGATTATAATGTGCTCAAAGCCTACTTACCTTATTTATTAAAGTATTTCTATTTTAGTCTAAAATACTTCAGAAGGGAGAGGTGTGGTAATGCCTGTAATCTCAGCATTCTGGGAGGCCAAGGCAGGTGGATTGCTTGAGCCAACGAATTCAGGATTAGCCTGGGCAACATGGTGAAACTTCATTTCTACAAAAAATACAAAAATTAGCCAGGTGTGATGGTCTGCACCTGTAGTCCCAGCTACTCAAAAGGGCTGAGGTTGGAGGATCACTTGGGCCTGGGAGATTGAGGCTGCAGTGAGCCGTGACGTCACAGCATTGAGCTCCAGCCTGAGCAACAGAGTGAAACCCTGTTTGAAAATAAATAAATAAATAAAATACTTCAGAATATACAAGGCAATATGTATGTGTTCATTTAAGCTACATTTTACGGATAACCAATTGCTGTAATTTATACTCCAGATACAGCAAGTATCTAATCAAGATTACTGTGGACATAGGTTTTGGCAATTCAAATGATAAATGATAGAAGATTTCATTTTAAAACTGAATGTTTAATAATTAGGAAAATGATGACTGTAATGTTTTTTTCAATTGTAAAATTGGTGTTATTAAAAATATATAGATTCTAAATGGTAGAGCATTCTAGTGCCTCCATGATGTAAAATAAACACATGAATAATCATGTTCAAAGCTTAATTGCTAAATGGTCCTGAAATAAATTAATTTAATTCAGTTCACTTATGCAAGATTAAATGAACTATAGTAAACTATCATTTTGCTTTTAGGAATATACTGGAACTACAGTCTAATAGATATGAAATTTTTAATTATGCACATAATAGAACATTATACATTAATGAGAATGAGCTGTTGCCACACACAGTAACATGGATGAATTTCAGCAACATAAAGTTGAATACAAAGTCAAACATAATATATGCTGCATAATTTCATTTTAAACATTTTCAGAAATTTTATCATACTAAAATTAATTCTGCTATGGTTATGAAATAGGATATTATACAGTTATTACAACACTCAAACACATTAAAAACTCATAATTTGGTAAGACAGTAATTTTAAAATGGTATACATATGACTCCCATTCTGAGAAAAAAAATGTATGTATAAGTTGCTAGGAGCTGAAGAAAGGTGTGCAGAGAGGTATTGATCAGGGTCTCAGTAAGAAATATGTTGATACACTCATATTAGAGTAATGAAACGAGGCTTTATTTTAAAAAGGGAGAGCAAGATATAAGGAACTGCAAGGGATAGCACAGTTACTCCCAACAAGAGAGCTGTTACTACCCTAGACTTGAAGAGACAAGAAGACCAGTTCCCAAAGCACAAGAGAGAGTTGCTTAGAGGTGGCCTTCTAGAGAGGAGCAGTGGTTTCGGGACAGGGAAAGATGAGTGCAAGAGGGAAATGGTATAATTCACTCTGCTTCCTCCTCCCTATCTTCTGCAGGGGCTTCCCATTATCAAAAGCCAGCAAGGCATCTCTGGTATGGTCCATACAGGTCAGACCACCAGAGAGAGAAATGGGTACACAACGGTGTGGGTGTGGCTACAATACCCATATTGATAAGGTGTTCAGAAGCAGGTCTTAATCCAAGTGGCACAGATTACACATGGGATTGATTTCCTGGATTATTTTAAGAGAGGAGATGTTGAAGGGATGATCAATTGTTTTCTTTAGATACCTTTATATTGCTTGACTATAAGAATAATATATGCAGCATTTTTTTTTAATTCTGGGGAAAAATGTATCTACATGTGTGAAGAGATACGTATATGTACCTGTGAATGAATGTATGTGTGTGAGAGAGAAAGAGAGGTGAGAGGGGTGTGAAAGGGAGTGCTTTAGTGAGATTGTATGTGTGTAGGTGAGGTTGTATAGGTAAAGTGAGATGTTGGGTCTGTGTGTTGCATGTGTCTGTGGGGGAGGCGTATTAATGAGTGTATGTGTACATGAAATGTGAAGGTGGGGTATATGTGAATGAAAACATTTATGAGAGTGTATGTGAGAGTGTATGAGTGTATCTGAAACTGTATATGTGTGTGAGGGGTGTGTGTGTGTGCACATGTATTTACATATGTGAATAGGTGTGTTTCTGTGGGGAGTTGGAGTGGGGTGTGCAGGAGGGGTGTGTTTGTGACAGCGTATGTGAAGTACACAGGTCATGTGAAACTGCAGATAAAGGGTAGGCCTGTGGTTTGAGAGTGCATTTGTGAGAGGTGTGTGGCAGGAATGTGTGTGAGGGGACATACATATTCACATGTGTGCATGCAGATGAACATGTATGTGAGTGTGCTTAGATACATCTATACACATAGAAATAATAAAAATATTTTCTTCCAGAAGACAGAACAACTGGAAGAAATTATGTCAAATTGTGAATAATAGTGATCTCTAGTGACAGGATAAGAGACAAATTTCATTTTCTTTACTTTTTTGTTCAATTGTAATCAGGACAACAATGAACATTTTAGTCTGTTTTCTTGGCTCCAAGAATACATGAATATATATAGTACCATTTTAGCAGCATGCAAAAAAAAATCTTGACTAATAAAATGTTCCTTTATGGGAATATGTTTGAAATTTGGGATCACCTTTTTCAATATATAACCAAATAGATATCTAAATCCCTGGTTAATTTGTAGAAGAAAATATTGCATTTAAATTTGAGAACCATTGAAACATTCAATTTTTAATATAACTTAATTAATTCATAGGTATTCAATAACTGAAACTAATTGCTACTGATGTTTTCAAGCCAAGGATCTAATGGTTTTGCATTAATGAGTCAGTAAAACTAGTTCAATGTCCTATTTATATCAAACTGCTTCAGAGAACTAAAGAGCTTTAGATTTCCCAAAAAACTCAAAGCTTATACTAAACATTAATAGGGATTATCAATAGAAAGAGGGGTTTAGATAAGTTTTATTTTTTCTTTCATTTTAGTGTTCTGTTTACAGACGTTTTGATGGTTTTTAATGGTGTATATGTAGAGCTTATGTAATATGGCTTCTGTTAATTAATTTTCAAGCAGGTTTTCTTCCTAAGTGGGAGAAATAGGCCTCGAATTCTTTAACTGATAACTTATTTTCTCTGTATTGCCTCATTTCACTAATAACAAAATATGGAATTTCCCCTCTTCAAAGTTACATTTTTATAAAGGAAAAGTTTCTGCCAGTAAATGGCTGAAGTGTTATTCTATTTTTAATTTTTTTCGAGCTTAGAAAAGTTTTTTTTATGTGACTTATTATCACTGACATCAAGTGTCTCAGCCCAATTTATTTTGTATTCTTTACTGTAGGCTCCATTGTATCTATGTAAATTGAATTGGTTGTCTGAGTAGACCAAAAACAAAATTCTAAGCCCCTCAACTAACTGAACAAGCCCCTCCTGTCAGCTAAGGGCAATCCATAGTTATCCTGAAAAACTCCTTTTTTTGGAATTCAGGAGAAGCTGACCAGCATAAACATCAACAGACCTTAAGTCTCATAAGAAATATTTGTAATCTATTCTCTCTGAAGCCTGCTACCTGGAGGCTTCATCTGCATGATAATACTTTGGTTTCCATAACTCCTTATCATAACCCTGACATTTCCCTTCTATGGATTCCAGGTCTTTAGATAATAACTATTTCAATCAATTGCCAATCAGGAATCTTTTAATCTACCTATGACCTGGAAGCCCCATCTTTGAGTTGTTCTACATTTCCAGATTGAACCAACATATATCTTACATGTATTGATTGATGTATTATGCCTCCCTAAAATGCATAAAAGCAAACTGTACCTCAACCACTTTGGGCACATGTCATCAGGATCTTCTGAGGCTGTGTTGTGGGCCTATTCTTACCCTTAGCAAAACAGTCTTTCTAAATTGATGGAGAACTATCTCCAATATTTTTCTTGAGTCACACTTGAAGTCATAGAAAACTCACTTAATTTTATATAGATAGCAATTAATAAGTAATTACATATATCAGATCTTTTCTTCATACTCAGCTTTTAAAATATAAACAGGCCAAACTCAATTACAAATGCTGTTAAGTGAAGCCAGTGAAGCCACACTCGACAGTCATGGTTGCGAAACATAATCACTCAACCACAGAGGAGTGCTCACACCCAGGAATGCCTTCTATTGTTCGATCAGTGCTTTTCCATTTGTCGCATCTGATTTTTCTTTTTTTTTTTTTTTTTTTTTTTTTTTTGAGACGGAGTTTCATTCTTGTTACCCAGGCTGGAGTGCAATGGCGCGATCTCGGCTCACCGCAACCTCCGCCTCCTGGGTTCAAGCAATTCTCCTGCCTCAGCCTCCCGAGTAGCTGGGATTACAGGCACGCGCCACCATGTCCAGCTAATTTTTTGTATTTTTAGTAGAGACGGGGTTTCACCATGTTGACCAGGATGGTCTCGATCTCTTGACCTCGTGATCCACCCGCCTCGGCCTCCCAAAGTGCTGGGATTACAGGCTTGAGCCACCGCGCCCGGCCGCATCTGATTTTTCAATAGCACATCATTAAATAAACCGACTTCAAATAATATTATTTGGAAACTGCTAGGAAAATGTTAACAGAAACAATCTTAAAAACCTACCGGCCGGGCGCGGTGGCTCAAGCCTGTAATCCCAGCACTTTGGGAGGCCGAGGCGGGTGGATCATGAGGTCAAGCGATCAAGACCATCCTGGTCAACATGGTGAAACCCTGTCTCTACTAAAAATACAAAAAATTGGCTGGGCATGGTGACACATGCCTGTAATCCCAGCTACCCAGGAGGCTGAGGCAGGAGAATTGCCTGAACCCAGGAGGTGGAGGTTGTGGTGAGCCGAGATTGCACCATTGCACTCCAGCCTGGGTAACAAGAGCGAAACTCTGTCTCAAAAAAAAAAAAAGAAAGAAAAAAAAAGAAAAGAAAACCTACCATGTGCCTTTTCCTAGGGGTAGAGGAAGAGTAATCAGGCTTTTACTCAGCTGCTACATCAAACCACTCATGTGGTGCAGTGAACACTTTATTTTCCCACTTGAATTTGAGCTCTTCTGCAAGATCACTCCTGCCAATCTTGCGGAGATGTCGAGCCAGGAGGCGAGATTTGTCAGTAAAAGTTGGAAGCGATTTTTTCCAGAAGCAAAGAAACTCATGGATCTGTTCTGTGAGATCAGCAGGGTTCTTGAGTTTGATGAGCTGAATGGTGCTATGGCGCAGAGGGAGAGTTGAGGAAAGAGATTCAGCGTTTTCTTCTGAGAGCTCCTCAGCCAGCCAATGCAGCAAGTTGTCCCAGAGGGCTTCTGTTAGGCACACGAGGAAGATGCAGGGTTAAGACTCTTTCTTGGGAGAGGCATGGATCTACCCTTCCACACCTGTTTATAGGAAGTCTCCCTGCTCTTTGGTTTGGCCTTGGGGCAGTGCAGCGATACGGGACTACCTAGAGCAAAAGCCTAGCCAAAAGCCTCTGAATCCCTGGCATTCTAGGATCATCTCCTGAGGGTCCTAGCTATTGCAGAGAGTTTAAAATGCTTCTGAAATTTTAATATACCTGAGAACCAAGAGGGCATATTAAAATGGTTTTCATGTTCTGCTCTACATAATCTAATTGAGCAAAACTGGGAAGGGTGGGGTGGGCAGAGCAAACTTGGCATTTTTAACAAGCTACCAGAAGATACTGGTGCTAAGGTCCCCAGTCAGCACTGGTGTGTGTGTGTGTGTGTGTGTGTGTGTGTGTGTGTGTGTGTGTGTGATTTGAGACTGAGTCATGCTCTGTTGCCCAGACTGGAGTGCAATGGCACAATCTCAGCTCACTGCAAACTCTGCCTCCTGAGTTCAAGCGATTCTCATGCCTCAGCCTCTTGAGTAGCTGGGATTACAGGTGTGTGCCACCATGCACAGCTAATTATTTTTGTACTTTTAGTAGAGATGGGATGTCACCATGTTAACCAGGATGGTCTTGATTTCTTGACCCCATAATCCACCCGCGTTGGCCTCCCAAAGTGCTGGGATTATAGGTGTGAGTCACCACACCTGGCTGAGTAGCACTGATTTTAAAGGGTCTTTTTTAGGTTCAAAACGTATTTCTCCTTATTAGTAATAATCTGATGCATAAATAATACCAGTAGCTAGTCAATCCTCACACACATCCCTAAGTATACACACATTCACACAAACACACACAAACACAAGCCACGATCTGCCACCCAAAGACAATTCTGTGGAAGATCTTTTACACCAGCACTTTCCACTAGGCCGTTCTCTGTTGACTCCTGTTGACCTGTTGTTATGGATATTACTGATATGTAATTTAGATCCATAACTCTGAATAAAACCTCTGTGCCCTACTATCTCTCCTTTCACCTTCCAGCCCTCTCCTGCATCATAGCCACTTTCTGCCACTCTCATGCTCCCCTCTGCACCACTTTCCCTGGTCTGGTGTATTCTATCTGCCTTCTGTTACTCATCTGTTTCTTCCTCCTACCCACTCCTGTAAGTTGCACCCTGATTTTACAATATAAAGTCACCTTTCTGTGCAAACGAGGAAAAGGGGCCAGCTCTTCCTTGTTCTCCATCGTCACTTTCAAGCCAGTGTTCTGCTACCTTCATGCAATGCATTCATTTTGAAGTCCATGCCATCTGGGCAGACTTTTCTCTTCCCATCCACATCATCAGCAACCCTCTGTAGGCACCTTCATCAGCAGCCCTGCTGATAATCATTCACACCTCTTACCCAGATCATATGGCTCTTTAATCTTGTCAGCTCCAATGACCTGTCTCATGACTCCAAACTAGAAACTGACTTTCATGGTCAATCTTCATGTTTCATACTCAGCCAGAGTTATTCTACCTGCAAGGCTTCAGCCCCTTAATATTACTGCTGACCTCCACCTCCTAAACTTATTCCATGGTTTCTATTCCTTTGCTTCTGCTCAATATGCTCTGTGCCACCATCACCAAGATAATGATTCCTTGGTGCCCCCCAGTCATTCAATCACCTCTGCAGGGTCTCCCATATCTGTGTACCTGCACTGCTCCTAGTGATCAACTGTGCACATCAACGGTGGTCTTGCATCCACCTTAAAATCCTATTGCCTTTTTCAGTTTTCATTGTTCTCAATTTGTCAGTCTGAATCTTGCATTATTCAGATTGCATTCAATTACCTGGGCTGCCTGAGGTTATGAAATATGTTGAATGTGATCAACAAACTGTAAGCTATTTTATACCATTTGAGCCCTTAGTTTCTTGAAAATCTGTTAAAAATAAATTTTCTAAACTCAATATAAATTTTTTCATAACAATGGCATGCATCTTTTCTCCCATTCTTTAGCCCCAATCTCACTCTCATTCTGTTTCAATCAGCCAATGTCTGCTTCTCCTACTTTACCCAAAGCCATTTGACCTGCGTTCTCCTTGGTTTTCATTTCAAAATGACTTTCCTACAAAATCTCACTCCTGTGTGTTTGCTGGATTCCATCCCTCCCACCATTTTTCATCAAGTATTTTCCCTTCACACCTGTCCCTTAATCTCCTCCTCACCAAGGCTCCTTTCTTACTTCCTACAAACACTCTCAGGCCTCCTCTTCCCTTGCTACTGCCATCAAGCTATTGTGCTATTTCTTTCCTTCTTTTAACCACATATTCTTTTAATGTCTAATGTAAACTTGAGATCTTAAGTTCCTCACTATGGACTCACTACTTAAACCTTTGCTTTAGGGTTCTGTGCCCTTCTTCAAAATTCTATCGAAGCCTTTCTTTCCAATCTTCTGAGAGGCTTCCTAGTTATTATTTACTTGACTGGGTCCTGGCCTGCGTCTTCTCTGACTTCCATGGAGCATTTTACACCTTTCCTGGCCTGCTGTGGTTCTTCTCCTTCCTCTCTTGCCTTCTGCCAGCTGTCTTCCTTCCCATATTCTTTTCCCTCTGCTAACTGTCTTCCTCCTAATACTGCCACATTACTACATCCTATCTCAAGCCTCTTCTGTTTCTGTCCTCTCCCCTCAATGAATGCATCAACTCTTACTGACATTACCATTGCCATTAACTATGTGAAATATCCTAGATCTACCCAGTCTTAATCTTTTGGCATTGTTCTCTTAAATCCTGGAATAGCACTCACAATATTCATCTTCTAATTATCTCTATCAATGTACATTATAGCCAATACAAATGTCATATTTCTAAAATCAAGATAACCAGTGATAGCCTTTCCTTCTCACTACTCAATCTTCCTTCACTCTATTCACTTTCTTAGTTAATGAGACCACTCAGCTGAGCAAGCTGAGACATGTGATGTTATTCACATTTTCAAAGCCTATTTCTTATCCCCTGCACTCAAGTCCTGATGTTCCTAACTTTAAGCATCTCAAATATTTGCTCTACTTTCCTACCTAGCTGACTCAATCTTCTTTTTTTTTTGAGACGGAGTTTCACTCTTTTCACCCAGGCTGGAGTGCAATGGCACGATCTCGGCTCACCGCAACCTCTGCCTCCTGGGTTCAGGCAATTCTCCTGCCTCAGCCTCCTGAGTAGCTGGGATTACAGGCACGCATCACCATGCCCAGCTAATTTTTTGTATTTTTAGTAGAGACGGGGTTTCACCATGTTGACCAGAATGGTCTTGATCTCTTGACCTCATGATCCACCCGCCTCGGCCTCCCAAAGTGCTGGGATTACAGGCTTGAGCCACCGCGCCCGGCCTGTTTTTATTTATTTATTTATTTATTTTAGAGGGAGTCTCTCTCTGTTGCCAGGGTTGGAATGCAATGGTGCCATCTCGTCTCACTGCAACCTCTGCCTCCGGGGTTCAAGTGATTCTCCTGCTTCAGGCTCCTGAGTAGCTGGAACTGTAGGCACGTGCCACCAGCCCAGATAATTTTTTGTATTTTTAGTAGAGATGGGGCTTCACCATGTTGGCCAGGATGGTCTCTTGACCTCATGATCCACCAGCCTCAGCCTCCCAAAGTGCTGGGATTACAGGTGTGAGCCACCCCGCCTGCCCCTGACTCAGTCTTAACCATGTCCTACCTAGCTTCTTGCTTGACTGTTACAGGAACCAGGATTCTAACTTGTATCCCTGCTGTCAGTTTTGGATCACTTAAAAGTCTAATCTGATCTTGTCAATCACTTGTTAACAAATTTACTGTAAGGTCTTCCTATTGTCTAAACTTCTTTACTTGGCATTTCAAACTTTTCAGAGTTTTCTCCCACTCAAAATGTCTAACCTCATCTACCAGCATCCCTTCTACAGCAGTTCTGATGTATTGGTCATGTGGGAGGATTCGTGTGAGAGCAAATATCTCCCAACCTGTGTAATAAACTAGAACTTCCTAGTACCCGTAAGAAGGATCCTTCTACCCTTTGTTTTCTCCAGTGACTGTTGATGATGGCAGTGATTATGCTTCTATTTGGCCATCAAATTCTTCAAAGGTTAACAGCATTATTAAACTTGCAAAGCTTTAATCTTTTGCTGTTGTTGTATTATATATCATCTGCTCTTTTTTTAAACACAGTTTATTTATCCCTGACAGTTTATAATGTGGAGTTTAGTCTATGCTATGCCTAATGGAGTTTAGTAAGACCTGAACATTTTCTGTATTAATCCATAAGGGCAATCCCTGATTGGAATTCTGTATCATCCATAGTGGGCCTGATGCACTAGTAAGAACATCCTTGTTGATGTCTTTTGAAGACCAATAAATTATCACATTAGTAGCTGTTAACATCACAACATAAAATTTTTCAAAGGCTAAAGTAGAATAAAAGTTTCCAATTATACCCTGAAACCTGTAGCATTATGTTATTCAATTATGTGTAATGACAGACAAATATTAAATGTGTCTTGTGGTTTCATGCCAATATATACCTCAATTCAAATTGATTGACTTCACATATTGATTTGAGTTAACCACACTTTAAGATTTACAACTTAAAAGTCAACATTTCAGCTCAAAGTATAGTCATCTATTTAATAAACTAAGCAATTGCTAGTCATATGAATAAAATAAAATTCTTTAACATTCACATTTCCTTTAGATTTCAACTCAACTTTAATTACATGTAGATTAGAAAATGCTAGTTTAGTTAATTTGTGCATAACTTCCCAGGAAATACCTATTTATTAGGCCAATAAAGTCAATGATTATTTAATTGGAAAGTCACTTTCTCCATTCCTTTTTATAAAATGATTCACACACATATACCATATAAGTGAGGAGGGGAAACACTATAATAATGACAAAGCAAATATTCCTCACCTAGAGGATCCTTAGAAACTCTTTTGGTACTCTGTGGACGGTTGATTAATTTCTTATGCTATTGGGGGAAAGGAACACAAAATAAACAGAAGAAGGAATTAATTTGTGAATAAGCTACAACAAAAATTCAGCTGAACCACATCTCTATTTGGAAGAAATACTGAATTGCATACCTTGCAAAATTAAATACTGTATTTGTGCATACATGCTCAGCGATTGTTTTCCTAAGATAAAGCAAAGTCTATTAACCCAAATATTTCAGCACATTTAAATTTCAGACAACACATTTAAATATTATTGTAGCATTCAGATTAACTGTAAATGAACATTTTTCCAACTAAAATTTAAAACTGTTAAACCAACTAGCATACAGCAAGCTACCAAGATGCTATAAAGATGGTATTTTGTATTTTGTAAAACCTTTTGTGGGGCAGACACTTTGCTTCAACACTAAGCACAGAACCTGACACCTAATAGGTTAAAAACAATCAAACCAGTGAGCAGATCGTATTCAAAAATCAACATTTTATCAAGAAGTAAATATATATATTTTACTATCTTCCTACTATGTCTGCATAACTGTTTTTTCTCAGGTAATATGACATTGTGGAGATAGCACATGAGATAAAATAAAATTATCTGGGTTCTGATGCCTAGCCAGTGGCTGAGTAACATTGCACTTCAGAGAATTTATTTAAATGTTCAGCCTCAGCCCCAAAATGTCTTTATGAATGCCTACATCACAAAGCATTGTACACAAATGTTCATAGCCTCTTTATTTGAATTAACCAAAACCTGGAAACAACTAAAATGTTCTTCAGTAGATAAACAGTTGAACAACTATAGAATATCCACATCATAGGATACTACTCAGTAATAAAACAAAAAAAATGTTGATACTTGGGACAATTTGCAAGGGCCTCGGGGCATGATGCCAAGAAAAATATTCTAGTCTCAAAACATTATTTATTCTGATTATATTATATTCTTGAAATTAAAAGATTATAAAGATGCAGGACAGATTAGTGGTTGCCAAGGGTTACTGATGGTGGGGGAATGGGTGAGGTAGCACAGAAGAGATCTTTGCGGTAATGGAATAGTTCTATATCTTGAATGTGGTGGTTACATAAATCTACACCTGAGAAAATGCCATCAAACTAGACATACACATTGTATCAGTGTCAACTTCCTGGTTTTGATATCTTGCTGTAGTTATCTAAAATACAACCACTGAGGAAATCTGGGTAAAGATTACATTGAACTTCTCTGTACTATATTTTGCAACTTCTTGTGAATCTATAATTACTGTATGTCAAAACATTTTTTAAAGCTTATTTCACAGCAATGATACAAGGATGATGTAAGTGTTACATGTTAATGAGTAGCACACTGGTTCCCACTGATCACTGTAATGCAAGTTAGTTGAATCTGAATATCATATTTTATAGGCATTCTTATCACAAATATTACATAAACATGGAAGCATATACAATTTTTGTTAAGAAGTTTGAATGGAAAAAAATGTAAAAACATAGCATAAATTGAAGTATATTATTATACTATAGCACTGCAAAATAAGTGCATATAATTTTCAAGGCATATGTGTTTGAATCCCTTAAAATACTGAGAGAGAAATACCAGTTTAAATAGTGCAGCAGATTGTATCTTTCCCATCAAAGGGCACATGGCTTTGGACAAGAGATACATACTGAGACTTTTCTTTTTATCAGTAGTTCTTCCCACTCCATAACTCTTTGCTCACAGATGTCTCATAGCATTTTGATGCACAGAGAGTGGTTTCAGTGTTTAAAATTCTTTTTCACGTACATGAGAATGCAAGTCAAGTATTTCACCTGATAAACTACCATAGAATCAGTGAATTGGTGTAGCTCAGGCCCTTATTAGACTTACAGGCACTGTGTTGGTCTCCTATGTGGCCCCTTCATCAAGGATTTTCAGTGTTGCCTTCTTCTCCTTTCCATTTTTCTCCTCTCCCTGCCCCCAGCCTTTTTTGCTTGATTTTGGTCTGTGCACTCTTTTCGCTTTGTACACCATCTTTTGAACCTCCTTCGTGCTCAGGGTCAGCTACAAGCAGAACAGTCAGCCAACATTTGGCCTCCTGCAGTCTTCCCTCTCAGGTTCCCAGCATCCCTGAGTGGCTGGCTGGATGCCTTCCTTAGCAGAAACAGCTCTAATTTCCCCCCATTTTCCTTTCTTGCCTCTTTCCAATCAAAAGATGCTTTTCAAGGCACTTCTCTGTCTCTTACTTGGTTGTTAGTTGGAGGTTCTTTTCCACAGTTTTCCAAATCTAACTCTGTAACTGAGTATCCCAGCCTTAAAATGCATTTTAAAACTTTTTTTCCTTTGTCGCTTTTAGCCTTGAAATACACTTTGAAACTATTTGTTTCTCCCTTGCCAGGCACTCTGTGAACCATGCTTGCTTATCTAATTATGTGCTTGCTTAGAAAGTCCAGGGGCCAATTTTGAAACAAACTAGGCAGAGAGACCACACTCTGAAATCCTCCCACTTAGGGGGAGTTACAAACAGCCCATCACTACCAGACTGAAGTCAGGATGACACAAACTGGACCTCCAGATGGGTGATGACTCAAGATAGCCATTAGAACAAGACACACAGGCCTGCACCCTCCTGCACAATTCCCACATGTATTCCACACTTTTCCTTCTTAAACTCCTTCGCTCAGCCCAAAATGCTGCAGTGGTCTACTGAAGGCATTAGCTTGACCATTACCCCAAGTGCTAGCATTTAGTGAGCAAAACTGCTTTCCTTCAAAACAACAGCAACAGTAACAACAACAACAACAAAAGGTGCCATTTGATTACATTTTCTCAGGTTCTATTTGTTAAAGTAATGTTTCTTACTCCTCTCAAGTCATCTGTTTTTATGTTAATACTGCATATTTTAATTTCCCACCTACAGTATCTTAAATGCCACTTGCAACATGTCAACTCAAGATAAATGCTGGACAAATTTAAATGTAGTTCTCTGGCTCTCTATACACTGATTCCTTGCTACACAATCCAAATTTAAATGGGTATAGTTGGGCTTATGTGGTAGTTTTCCCCAAACTATAAGCCTCCTGGGGACATCAGTATAAAAATCTAAACAATTCAGATATGTACAGATGTGTCATATTTATGCTGCTAAGCACAATGCAAGCCTCAACTCTTTAGAAGTCATTTAAAAAATTGAAACCAAAGACAGGCACCTACACCAGAAAGAGGTATAAGTGTCTTGAGTTTTATAACCATGATTGTTAGGATTCCTTTGGTTTTTGCTACCTAATTATAGCCCTGTTATTGAATTCTTAAAGCGAATTAAGCCATCTTTTTACTCGAACTCATATGTGTAAAAGTTTGATATTTTTGTAGGCAACCCAACAAACTGGACTTGGTTACATCTACTCAATTACCCAGGGTTATTTCCCAAGGAACCTCCAAAAGTTTACCCTCCTTGGGGCTTTTCGGTGCTCTAAGATCCAACCATTACCAGTCTTGCCTTTACTCAATAGACTTAACATTTTTGAGGGCTAAGAAAGTACATCTCATTCCCGTATGTTTGTCATTATAGTAGATAAGGTGTTGTATACACAAAGCAGTAAAAAATATTTTATTGGCTGGGTGCAGTGGCTCATGCTTATACTCCCAGCACTTTGGGAGGCAGAGGCAGGAAGATAGCTTTAGCTCAGGAGTTTGAGACCAGCCTGAGCAGCATAGCAAGAACTTATCGCTACAACAAAAAAAAAAAAAAAAAAAAAAAAAAAAAAAAATCCAAGCATAGTGGCTTATTCTTTTGGTCTTAGCTACTCAGGAGGCTGAGGTAGGAGGATCACCTGAGCCTAGGAGGCAGAAGTGAAATTGCATCACTGCATTCCAGCCTTCATGACAGAGTGAGACACCTCCTTTCAGAAAAAGATTAAAAAACTTATATTCACATTATAATATCTTCTCTATATTTAAATGATACACCCCTTCAAATCCTGCCATGATATGGGGGTTCACTCAGGATGGTAGGAGAGATTGTAAAATTGTATAATATAGTCACAAACCTTTAAAGGCTGAGAAGTTTGCATAGTTTCAGTGGAAGTTTCAGCCCAAGGCAGCCTAATCCACTTTACCTTTAGTTGATAAAGAAAAGCAAATAACTAGGGAATAACTAGGGAATGTGGGGGAGTTTATCTGAATTACTTGTTTATTCATTTGTCCTAAAACTAACCTTTAATCTTTGTAGACCAGATGGTTCTCTTAGGGAAAGGGCAACCAGATTTATCACCACAAATGGTGTTTGCTTTAGGCCTCAGAACCTGGCCTTTAATCATTATCCATAAGTGTGTTGGCTCAGAGCCTCTGTTATTAAACCTATACTAAATAAATGCCTAGAGTACCAGCTGGCCGGTGGCCATTAACTCCTTCTGGTGAATGGCGTAAACATCCCAAGCCACTCTTTTACTGAGAATTTGTGTCTGAGTGAATTTATTCATCCATCATTGGATATGGGTCTGCCTGTTGGACCCCAACACCATATTTTCAAGGAACTGGTGACATTCTACCTCTTTTACCAATTAGTTTCCTATTTGGGAATTTATGCACTATACTATCACACAGGTGATCTAATAACATTACGTTGTTGTTAATGCCATTCATATGTGTTGTTTCCCTCCCCAATTAGGCCTTCAGTGATTTATTGTGTCATCTTCTGCATCTTCTTTTATATTAGTACTTACCTTTGCTACATGTTAAGTACATCATACCTTTAATTAATACTAATAGCCAGAGGGCCCTCCATAGAAAGTTGCAAGGATTGTTATCATCATACATTTAAGGTCAGCAGTTTCAGCTGTGCACAACATCTGCCCAGCAAGGTTTTTATGTATACACGAAAATTTCTTCCACCATTTCCTACAGAAAACATTTCAGATCTTTGCCGCTTTTTTAAAAACACATGCCTTATACCCTGCCTACCATTCTCACACAAGCGGTTTAGTCTTCTATTTGCTGGTAAAATTAAGCAGTGGGCCAGGCATGGTGGCTCATGCC